CCTGGAGTATTTTGATGGATTCAGTATTAGATCAGTATTTGACCGAATAGTTAACTCAAACGATTTAACATCCCAATGTAATTTATTATATTAATATGATTCAAATTATAATAAATACTTTAAAATATGGATTATCTATATTACGATCTGTTGGTACAATCTAAAGCTTAACAATTAAAAACGTGGGATTAGTATAATAGTGAAAGCGTCAAATAAAGATTTCTTCATTGTTGACTAAGAGTCACAGCTTTTGCTTAGGTTAATGAAAATGAAGAACAAGATGAACAATTTGAAATCGTTCCCATGAATATCAAGAAACCGTTAGTATTTTTGATGAGATTATGTTAGATGCTATTAATGCTAATGCCGTGCTTGAAGAAGTTTTAGCATGGAAGACATCGATTATTAGTGATGAGACAAAAGGTCATCTATATGTCAAAATTTCTTCCAACAGGCCAAGTTATTAATAAAAAGGTGCAATTAGGAGGTACGTTACTGACATTCATCATTAATCTATTCGGCCAAATACTGATCTAATACTGAATCCATCAAAATACTCCAGGTTGCACAAGAAGTCTCATATATTTGATCAACATATGTATATATCTTATGTATCGTGATCACATTTTGACATGCCAGTGCCTTCAGAAATTATTCTTTGTATAAACTAAAAACTTTTATTCATTAAAAACCGGCAATAGCTCAGTTGGTAGAGCGGGAGACTGTAGTGGGCTTACTCGTTGACATCTCTAGGTCGCTAGTTCAAATCTGGCTTGCCGGAGTTCAAAGTTCATTTTTTTGTCTTTTTTTGATATTAAATAGTACAGATCCGGTAAATTTTCGGATTAAGAATTAACCATACCTGGCAACTTATAAGCCACATATAAAGCAGGAAGTCCTTAAAAAAAAAACCGGCAAGAGCATAGTGAGCTTAGCGTTAAGGTTCAGTATTGATGTCCTAGGTTTCTAGTTTAAAACTGGTTTTCTGTTAGTTCCAAAATTCTTTTTGTTATTAGAATCATTATCATAGAATAAAAAAACAAAAAAAACTTGTTTGAGAATTAAGAGTATCCAATAGCCTTATAAGCCACAAATATGGAGTAAAATCAATCAGAAAAATCAATTTTTTTATATTTCATAAAAAATTTATTTTCATTAATAACCGGCAATAGCTCAGTTGGTAGAGCGGGAGACTGTAGTGAGCTTAAAGCTCAACACCGATATCTCTAGGTCGCTAGTTCAAATCTGGCTTGCCGGAGTTCAAATTCTTATTTTGCTTCGTATTAAAACATTCCGTAATATTTTTTATAAATTCAGCACTTGCTTTCACCAATCCCTCTTCTAAAACTTTTATTTTTTCCTAATGCAATTTCTTTCCATGTGCAAAATTAGTTATATCGTCCCATTGAGATATGCTTGGAGAATTTCGACTGTATAAACTGTAAGATTCTGGTCAACTTGAAGTTGTCAATTGCATGCCCAAAATTATTGCGTACTCACGTATAATAATCATGATTAATTATCAATCCAGAATCTATTCGAAATAATTTATCGTTATCTACTTAACAAAATTTTGATTAAATGTTCTGCGCTATATCGGCAATGTACCAGACCAGTCAATATCAAATTATTACACATTCCTACTTGCGGTTAGTTGTTGTCATGGAACAGGGATGCGGATAACGGACAGAATAAAATTGAAACTTTCAACGTCCAGGACAGTGTTATATAAGTGCCACGAAATTAAAATATTGCATAAATTTAATCATTATATTGTACGATTGGTGTTCTGGTCTTTTTTGAAAATACAAAGGCAGTATTCCGTTCAATTATGTAGCATCAATCCTACCATGCTTAAGTTCGGTACAGTTAAACTTATAGGTCTTAAACTGGAAACTATCGGTAGTATTATAGATGTATGTACGTACGTACTTGCATTCTGCATGTCTCGCGCGTGAGATTGTATCTCGCGATTTTGCGAAAGCCATGTGACAACAAATTCATTCTAGGATTGTTTTTATAACTCAGATAATAAAAGTTTTATGTTCCGTTTCTATATTAAATATATAAGTGTACTTAAACTAACGATACAAACAGTCTACGGTCAGTTTGCCAAAGGCTTGATTTAATTAATTAAAATATAAAAAGCTATTCCGTATTTTTATATTTTCATTTTGCTATCGAATCCGTTAAACTAATTATACAAAGATATGTGAAAAAAAAAATCAAATATCATTATTTATCATTATTCTGTAATTTCCGAGGGATAATATTGGATATGTTATTCATGTATAGTTACAAAACGAAGATAAACTCATATTGAATAATGGCCGATAGATCTAAAGGAGGAACATTTCGGATGGCAAAGAACGATGAATTTCGGATATTGACAAAAAGAAGCTAATATAACGTATCACATCGTATTTTTATAAAAGTTAAATATTTTTCATCTGATCAAAAACTAAATATCTTTTCATTCGTACGGAAAGAGAAAAATGAATTTGTTCCAGATAACTGTTTTATATTTGTATTAATTTTCTTGTATAACTGTTTTATATTTGTATTAATTTTCTTGTTTACACTACAAAGAAACTCCAATAATAGCGAAAATCTGTTTAGAAATACAAATCCTAATTAATGAAAATCTCATAATATACTGTATAAAAGCAATGATTTATTTAATGGTTTAAAATATTTGTCAGTATTCCACCAGTGCATACATATTAATCATGCAACAATAAAATAAAATGTCAGGATTGATACATTAGGATAAATACGATGTTATTAACAGATATTTTCATTACTTTTCTCTAGACATAATTTGATCTAAACAAACAAGTACAAATCTATCTATAAAAAGACTAGATACTATTTTTACTATTATTATTAAAATACTTGCCTAACGTTTACATTAATACGCGTTGTTGACATAAAATCACCATAAATATCCCATTCTGGATCTTCTGCATTGTTAGATGTAAGATATGACGGAAGGGTTCCTTCGAGAATTCGTGGAACGCCTTTAAATTGAAATATATATTGAATTAAAAATTGAAATCTATATTCAATTAAATTATTAAATTATTTTCTTAAATAAAAAAATGCTTGCAGTATACTGACCATGAAAACATCCTCGAATAGGTCCACACATTATTGAAATGTCTCCGCTACGCAAATATACTGCAAAAGGGGGAGTATCACGCGTTGTACCGCCGATTAAAAAAATACACGAATGCCCAAAACTAAAAGCATTGATTTTTTTTTTAGAATGATTAGATTATAAAGTTAATATAATCAAACAAGATTTATAATGAATATGTTTAAACTACCTAAAAGATATTAAGGGAGCATCCATATTTATTTCACTTCGATCAACATGTGCCATTAAATTATCTTTAAGTTGGTAATAATTAACTACACCAGCTTCTGGTTTCCATTTTGTCACATCATATTTGTGAATAAAACTACCATCTGGAAAACCAATTCCATCTATTGCTTTTACCACTGCAGTTGTTAAATCGTTAATATCTTGAGGAAATTCAAATCGACGATCAAAATGGTATGTTTTTGTAGACCAATGATATTGATATCCCAATGTGATCCATCTTAATTTACGGATTAATTGAGATGGTGGTAGTATAGAAACGGTGGATGATGGTGGCGGATCTGATTTTTCTTCATTGATTGTGGTGGATTTTGTGGATTCTAACGGAGGACCTGTTATTAAAGTTGATTCTTCACCATCGTCTGAGTATTGTACGTCATTATTTTTATTGATTGAAGAAGCCTTTAAAGGGATAAAACATTCTTTATCGTTTTCATCCAATATATTGTTGATAACCTTTTCGTAAAGTTCCCAAATTCCTTGTTTAGGTAAAACATAATGAGTATCAAGATTAGAAATATTTGGATGCTTTGTAAAATCTTTTAGACATCGTTTGATTACATGTTTTTGCGCATCTGGCGTAAATGGATTAGGAATAAATATAAATCCTAAATAAGCAAAATGAGCAAAATGAGTAAAATGAGCAAATAAGCAAGATAAGTAAGGGATATGATAATATCATTAGAATAACAGGTCTAGATGGATCATTTTTCTATAAATAATGAATCACCTGGTAAGTCTTTAAATAAATATGCTTTTTTTCTTTCGATGCATGCACCATCCTTGTATTTTCCAAATAAATTTTCGCATTCTTCACCTAAATCAGCAGTTAATTCTACTTCAATCACTTTATCTTTAATTTCGTCAAGGCAATTTTCTAAATTATCAAAGTCAATCACTTTGCTAAAATCTGGTGGTGGTAAACGTGACTTAAAATTTCTTTCAGCATCTCGAAATGGAGTTTTAGTAGCAAAAGATGACGATTTGGTACGACGAGATTGAAGTTGTTTTTGTTCTAATTTTTGTTGCCGTTTAGATTTGATCATTTGTACAAAATATGGAAGATCATTAAATTGGTGACCTAAATAAATGTTGATCTGATATATCACGTGTACTGAATGATGATTGATATGTACGATATCTGATATGTACTCACGTACGACACACGATTATTAAGTAATTTGGAATCACGACGTTTTTGTTTTTACATCTTATGTTTAAGACTACATGTACGTACTTTTCCTGCATTCGGAATAGTGTAATACATGTACCCACAACAGGGAATTCAATATAAATGGTTTGAGACACCCATTAAAAATATGTTTTAAACACTCTTTCTTTTGTATAAAGGTTTATATGTCGATTCTTATAAATTGAATTATTACTGGAGATACAAAGAAAATGTTGCCTAAAAAAAAAGGCTCTAAATCCGTGTATATTTATGCAATTGTAGCAACATTAGTCCTTGTATCATTATATATAATATCACCTTTTGATATAGAATCTAGTTTTTCATCTTATGACTATACGTTATCATCACCAGTTAAACCAAAAATTCAAGAAAAGAGTGAATGGTTAACTAATTTTGTTGATCCTTTAATTGGTATTCGAGATGGTAGGTCAAGCTAAATTTTTCTCCTTAAATATACTTGAAATATTTGATGTTGAACATTTTCTGATAAAATTCAACCGGATGTTTCATAATGGTTGATTAGGAAACGTGTTTCCTGGTCCTTGTTTACCATTTGGTGTAGTAAAAGTTGGAATTGATACTCACGATGCTGGGTTGGTCTAAATAGTTTTTTTTAAAATAATTTGATGGTTAAAAATTTGGTTATTTTTAATGTTTATTGGTTTGCAGGTATACCGTGGATGGTCCTATTTCAGGAATAAGTCGTATGTGATTTTTTTTAATAAAGTTTATCAAAAAAAAAAAAGAAGTTATATAGCCTTACTGTTTTTTGCATTCTTGTTCAAAAAAAAGATTTGCATATTGGTGGATCAGGTGAAATAATGTTCATTATATTTCGCTTGTAATAAAACACCCTTTAATTAATGTCTTTGTGCCAAAATCACATTATGTCCTATATATACTTTTTAAACAATTCATGAAATATAGATGTAGATCAACCTAAATATGGTGCAATCAGTCAATATCCATTTGTTTCTTCCTTGGATTCATTCGATTTGAAAAATTACTCTTCACTTCGTTCATTAGAGTCTTTTGAAGTTGGTTTCGCCAGGATCGGATTAAAGCGTTATGGTCTTGTTGTTGAGTTAACAGCGAGTAGGAGGGCAGCATTGCATAAATATATTTTTCCTCCATTAATTAACGAATCTCATGTAATGATTGATTTATCTCACATAAATGCCCGGTAAGTACTTTAATTGATGATAGTGTCTGCCATACTTGATATTTATCATCTGATAGAATTGGTTATCTAATGATAGTGGTAAATATGTTGCTGGTGCAATTTCTGTAACTTCAAATGAGATGAAAGGTTTTGGTCGTTATAAAGATTGGAAGTACGGTTCGGTCCCTGAATATTCCGTGTATTTTTGCTCTCAATTTGACAAAAATGCTTCAGAGCACTATACATTTTGGAATGGAGTAATTACATCAAATTCTAGTTTTGAATCTGGTAGACTCTATCCTATTGGTGCTATTATGGCATTTGATACTACAAAGGGTTCTGTAATCAAATCTCGAGTCGGTATATCATTTATTTCTACGGATCAAGCATGTAAAAATGCACAAGAGGAGATACCAAATTGGGATTTTGATTTAACAAGAGAAAAGGCTGTTGAAGCTTGGGAAGTTGAACTTGAGAAAATTCAAGTCGCCGGTGGAACTGAGGATTTGAAAAAGATATTTTACTCGAACTTGTACAGGACTATGATTATTCCAAGTGATCGGTAAGTGAATATTAATCCAATTTGCTTTCTTTATAAATGGCTAATGAATTCATTCTCCTGCAGTACGGGAGAAAATCCAAATTGGATATCTTTTGATAAAAATGGTAGAATTATACCCAACTATGACGATTTTTTCACATTAGTAAATTTCACCTTGAATAAGATGCCTGTATTGTTTCATTCTATATAAAATCATTGATCTTAATATACTTATTTTGCATTATTCGACTTAAATAGCGAAGCACCTTCAGGTAAGCTATATATTTAGTTCCCAATCTTTTATTTCCTAAATCAAACGTAATAAACAAATAATTTTTTATTTTATTATAAAAGGACTACAGTTCCGCTATTCACGCTGTTCCAACAACGACGGATTGTCGATATTACACGTTCACTTATTGACATATATCGTTATACAGGATATATGCCTGACGGACGCTGTGGTATGGCCAATGAAGTTACGCAAGGTGGCACCCATTCTGATATGGTTTTGGTAAAGAATCCAACATTAGAACAATTCTTGAAGTAATGCTTAATATTTTAATATATTAATGTTTAATGTACTTTTGAATAGGCTGAAATATTTTTAAAGGAAATTGGCAAGGATATTATTGATTGGGAATCTGGATATAAAGCTTTGGCGAAAGACGCTGAGGCAGATCCATTTGGGTATGGTCAAATGGAAGGAAGATTGAACCTTAGACATTATCTTTATCACGGATATATACCTTCCGGCAGTTCAGTTGACTCATGTAGTAGAACATTAGAATATTCAGCAAATGATTATGCAATATCATTAGTTGCTAAAGGTTAGATTTTATACTTTTGTTAATCGTTATATATATGTCGCACCTGAAGTCACATCTTACTGAATTAAGCACCTGATATTAGATCTTCTTGCTGCATTAAATTATAATTTTGGGCATGTGTAACTTCAGGCACGTCATGTACGGTAGTGATTCAGCTTTGTTAATGTAACTTGATTTGTAAAGGTTTAGGCAAAACCGAGGATCATATTAAATATAAAACTCGTGCAAATAGTTGGCAGAATTTATGGTGTCCTAATAAAACTGAAAATGGTTCGTTACGATTCATCTTTTTAACTTATTCAATATTTCCTGTCTAATACTTGATTTATTGGCACAGGTATCACTGGGTTTATCATACCTAAACGTATTGATGGGTCATTCGACCTTTCTGTAGACGTATTTCGTGAAGGATTTGCATACCTTAAAGGAACTCCATGGGAGTATAGTTTTGACGTTCCACATGGTCTGTACACTATTCAAGTTAGATTCGTTTACCGTTACGTAATTATTTCCAATACATTTTTTTAACACGTGATTTCTTATTTTAGGTGTGAATAAATTAATACAATTGTCCGGTGGCATTGCAAATTTTGAAAAGAGACTTGACTTAACTTTCTCTAACTCAACTTATGAGACACCATTATTCAAATTTGGAAACGTACATAGTTTTTTTCACCCTTGTTTGTATCATTTTATTGGTAAACAATGGAAAAGTGTAAGTGTTATCAGAGATATATTGGAAAAGAAATATAAAATAGACAATCTTCCCGGTAAGTTTTGTTTATTTGCGCACGTATTTAAATTGTTTTATTATGATCTATTTCATTATAGTCACATACGATGTAGTATATATTTTGTGACCATGTGATTTATTTCGAATTTGAAAAGCTAAACATTCTTATGGATAAGATTTTTTTTTTAAAAAAAAAATTGATAACTTTATAGAGAAGCATTAGTTCTATCAAATAGTTAGTTTTTTTAAGGAAGCTAGTATCAATAAGAAATTTAAAACCTTTCAATTCACTTGGAACTAAAATTTAAAAATCTGACCGATAACTTTGTAAAGCTTGTCACTAAGACAGAGTTATCGCCAGCTTTTGATATCATATCTGCATAATGAATTGAAATGTTTTAAAGTAGAGATGGATCCGGATATCCGCCAATTTTTAAACTTGTAATAAAATTACTATGAAGTTATGAACAACAAATCGTAACGGATAGACGGATCCCATCTCTCTTTTAAAGATACCGAATTGATCACGTGAGCGTTGAATATAGATCACTTAGACCATTTTGTCATATATAATTCTTTTTTTTTTTTTTTATACTAAAAGACAACGCTTCCAGCGCATTAAGTAGTTGGTTCATCTTCCATGCCATAGGGATTTATCCAATGTGAGTTATTATTCAAATATAAAAAAAAAACACATTAAAATTTTGAGTTTATTTTGAATGAACTAATATTCTTTATGTATTGCTTATTGAATTTATTGAATTTGCAAAACAACAGAGCAGGTCAAGACATATACTTAATAAATTCTCCGCAATTTTCAAGCATAACAATCCAAATGTCACCAACTACTCAATTCATAATAAAAGCACCAAATTTAACACCTAGAAATATATACATTCGAAGTGTAAAGCTTAATGGTAAAGATTGGAAAATGAGTTGGTTTAGACATAAAGATATTGAAAATGGTGGAATACTTGAATTTGAAATGGGAAATGAACCAAGTAAGAAATGGCCCGCCGGTTGGAATGGTGACAGTGAAGACGGAAAATTTGTACCTCCAGCTAGTTTTGATGATGATTGAAGATATTTGTTTAATATATGCGTGTAGGAAATATGGGTTTAATTTAATAAATTGGATTAAGTGTAAAAAGAATTATTTAGTATTGAAATTACTATTGATTTTTTTTAAGATAATGTGTGATAGGGATTATCATAAGTTTTTGATTTTTGCAAATTAAAGAGAATTCTAAGTCGAATTTTATTTAAAAAAATAGTTAAGCAGATTATTACAATATTGATTCCTCTTACCCTAAGTCTTTAGGAGAAACTTTTAATAATATTGTACTATCTAGATAATT